AATGAGGATGGAATTGTTACAATAAATGTTAAAGACAAGGCTGAAAGCTTCAATGACTTCTTCTCTAAAGTTGGTGTGAGTCTTGCAAATGATATCCTAACAGATAACGGTGCTAATGAACATCAGCACATTTACCAAATTACACCTACTATTGAACCAGTAAAACTTAATGTCCACAAGATTAAAAGGGTTATCGATAAAAGAGTTAAGCCTGGAAAAGGATGTCTTATGTGATGGAAGTAAGTTTAAAATCCTCAAGTTACCCTCCTCGGTGGAAGCTGAGTAAAGGGAAAGCTGAACCCAAAAAGGTACATAGCTCTGAAAGAGGTGACTTTAGGCCTATTTCTCTATTGTTTATTCCTAGCAAAGTGTACCAGGGCATAATAGGAGATTCTATTGACTGCCACTTTAACAAGGGAGGCTTGTCCAACAAAATCCTGTGGATTTTTAAAACTGGCAGGTCAACAGAACTCTTAATGCTGCACCTGACTGAAGTTTGGAGACAAGAACTGGATAAAAACAAAACTGTAGGGGTACTTGTTTATAGACTTTAAAAAGGCATTTGATTCCATTTGTCAAAACGATGGCTCTCAAACTCCAAGCCTGTAGAATATCGGGGAACCAAAACAATCTGATTGAAAATTACTTATCTGAGAGAAAACAGTTTGTTGAGGTCAAGGGTCAAAGATCTAATGAAGTGACAATCAAGTTTGGCGTACCTCAGGGACAGTACTTGGCCCAAGTAAAAGTAAAGTCTGTTTACGAGCCTAGTGGCCCATTAGGCCAGTGCTTAACTGCGGTTTCTATAGCATGAAGCGACTAGGAGTATTTCTACTCCCCCCTGGATGGGATGCTAGTCCATCGCAGGGTTACCCCCAGCATTAAATTGCCAGTACCCATTCATACACCTGGGTGAAGAGAGGCACTGTGAGAGTAAAGTNATTTATTGAGATATAGCTAAGTGGTGTAACAGGAACGTTTAACAATTCATCCCGATAAAACTGAGGTTATGCTTCTTACCCGTAATGCTTTCATTGGTCCTTTAAGACCAGTCAAACTGGTTGGTCATGCCATTAACTTTGTCAACAAGTCATACTATCTTGGGTTTATGATTTACAAGAAGTTAAGCTTGGACCCCACATCAAAGATCTATCAATATCTATGGTCAAGAAGGTAAAGCAACTGCGCAGGTTCAAAAGCCCTCTCTCTCATATCTTGGAGTCCATATATTTTAAGGGAATTTTACCAAGCATCACTTATGGAATTTTTTGTATGGGGTAAGCAAAGTTAGGTGTTTTAGAGAAAATTCACCTGAGGGCTGCCAAGGTTATCTTCAAACAACACGGAGGTACTAATTCCCAATCAGTGATACCGTCTTCTTAGAAATCCATAAGTTATTTCTATAAGATGAGGCTCCTTTCTCTGACACACAAAGCTTTTTATGGGATCAATCCTGAGCAGGTTGTAACAATTATTAGGAAAAGTCCAAATATACGAAATATGAGGGACAATTTAAAACTAACTCTGGAGCTACCAAACTCTAATGTTGGAAGACTGTCTTTTAGACATAGGTCTGCAATAGCGTGGAATTCTTTGCCTCGTTCAGTTAAGAACGTAGAGGATAATAAGAGATTTAAGAACAAACTCCGTTCTCTTTCAACAATTATTGAAAAGATATCTTTTAATCAAACTGCTCTAGTTGGCAACAAGGATTTGGTAAATTGTAAATATTTTTAGGAATTTTATCTTACTACCTGTATTGAAATTTATGCGAGGATTATAAACCAGTTTGAATCACTACTCATATCTTAATTTAGGCGAGGATTTTTCTAATTTTTTTGAAATTACTGTAATTACATAGAAGTTAGATTTATCGCAGGCCCAAATCAGCTTAAACACGAAGGCGCGCTATGGAAGGAAGTCTTCCCAGGGAAGACCTAGGCTCATTTGTCACTCACCGTTGACGTGTGTGCGTCAAATTTAAATGCGGGTAGATGAACAAAAGGAGCTAATGAGATATCTATTGATTCCTTCCACCAGCATGGTGGCATGAGGTAACGTGCGTACCACCTACTTCAATCTCAAATTTACCGCCACAAATAAAGACAGTTTTCCATTGGAGAAAGGAAATACACTTCTCAAAAATTCTTGAATTGTGATAAGGACACAGAACAATTTTGAGGAATGCACCCACTGTTCAATGCTTTGGAGTAGCTGTAGCTCAAGCTGACTTGACTCTAAGAGTTCTACATCACACGACGGTTGATTGACAAATGGTCCAGTGGGACCTAAGGCTCCTTTTATAGCGCGCCTTCGTGTTTAATGACGCCAGTAACCACCCTGCGTTACCAAGTAAATTATTTATGTATGCATGTATGTATGTATGTATGCTGCTCAATAATATCTTTAGCCAGTGAAAATGAACAGACACGTACATAAAGGTTGATGATGCTATACAGTACACTAATATGGGGAACAGGTTCAAGCTCAGCTTCACAAACCATAATATTATAGTGTGACAATTAGTGCTGTCAGTGACTGACTTTGATATAATATTAGGAATCTCAATTTGCTGTAAACCAACTACATGTGTAAATTCTCTAAAGATCATTTCAGTTTCACAAAAAACCTTTTGTGCTGGTTGAGTAATAAACCAAAGTCACACTTGTTGATTTCAGACTTTCCAGCTTTCAAGATTGCCATAACTTGCTGCCTTTCAGATGATTGTTTTTGGGCATGCTTCTTGTGTAGATTGTGCAGTACATGGCCTCCAAGATGTTGAACACATGAGGTGTCTCTGTCTGTAAACACAGTGTTGATCTCTTTGATTTCACTTCCCCTTGAAGATTTATTGCAGTATGCCAACAGACTGTCTGCCAACTTCATTGCCAATAATGTTGCTGCATTTCTTGACAGCCCTCTAAAGTAGTTCACAGAGTTTACTGCCACAGATGAGTAGTACTTTCCATAAAATTTCTCTACACTACCATTCTTAGTGTAGCCTTCAAAGAGATTCTTTATGTTTTTATACTCTGCTCCGTCTGCAATAGGACTTTCCCATGTGTAGGAGGCTAATTCAAGCCGTAAAACTTCAGCATGAGCCTTAGTATCCTTTAGATTCAAGACTACATTATTCACGGTGTCAGTTAGGACGGCTGCACTAAAAGGAACTTGATGGTTTGATCGTTCACTGTGCTTCGTGGCTTGGTGTCTTTGGTAGCCACCTTTAGTTTTGTACTTCTTTCCGCATTTCTTACATACAATCTCTTGCTTTTGAACCTACCTAAAACGAAATTCATAAGATATACTTTCACATATACATTCTAAGAATGTTTGTACTTTATATAATTTGCACAGTATTGCAGAACATTCTCTATCCGTGCTTCTTCCCTCGACACGAATCATCTCGATCAAAGTTTGTCATATTAAGCATTTCATCGTTGAAAAACAGGCCTAATCAAGCCATTTTCAATACTTACGTTGTTGACTTCATTGAAAAACTCCTCTTCAACTCCTACCTCCGCTTCTAACATCTCTAGATTTTGATGTTGAACAGGACCGTCACGTGACCGCGACCCTGCACACACTTCCAAAGAAATATGGCGGACAACTGTGAGTTTTTAGTGGGGGATGATTTAGAGGCAATTTTAGAGATGAACAATAGTGATGTGACAGCGGAAATAACGTTTTGGCATATTACTCCACTGGGCCCCCCAACAATGAAGTTGATTGGTTTTGGTTTTCTTATTCACGTGCCGGACTCGTGCTTCTACGGCAGAACAAAAAAGGGCCTGTTCGTTTTGATTTCATCATCGTTAGTAGAGGGGTAGTCCCTCTACTAACTATGATTTCATCAATAAATCACTGTTGTAATGAAAGTTGACTGCATTGACCAAGCATATTCGAACAAGGGAGATTCAGGCGATTCCAGCTCTGGAAGCGATTGCGGGTCACCTCAGCCGATAGCTACGGCACCCTCAGCAGCTACCACAATGGCGATTAATCTGCCTTCTTTTCCCGAATTTGAGCTTCAACCACGGGACACGATACCCGTTCGCTTTGAAAAATATGTCAAGCGTCTGAACAACATGTTTGCAGCAATGAATGTCAACCAAGCATCCCAAAAGAAAGCAATGCTATTACATTATGTGGGAGAAGATACCTGCGATATATTTGAGACTCTCACAGTTCCAGAACCGCCAGAAGGAAGCGACGAATATAAAACCGCTGTCAAAGCGCTTACTGAGTATTCGAGCCTCAAAAGTGTGTCGATCATCATGTCTATGTCTTTCGACAAGAAAAGCAAAAATCAGGTGAAAACATAACCGAATTCTACACAAGCCTTCAGTTGCTTGCCTTTAAGTGTGAACTTGCTGATACAGATTTGGAGATCAAGCGGCAAATTATCCAGGGCACCTTACCCTTCGCCTGAGACGTAAAGCCATCAAACAAAGCCTTAGCCTCGAAAATATTCTCAAGGCCGCTCGCGCCATGGAAACAACTGATGAACAAACTACGGAGATGGGAAAACAGTAATCACATAGTGAGCGGTGTTTGATGTAAAGTAAGCGACGATCGACAAAAGGAGAACTATTGGGGTCAAATAAAATCTGGACCTCGCCGCAAAAAGTGTGGTTTTTGTGGCGGTAAGATGAACCACTTCTCCAAAGTTTGTCGCAGCAAGCCCAACCATAATCATTCAAGATTTGCAACGCCCAAAGAAATCTTCCTAAAATAAACACCATGCTAGGTCTGCAGATGTCCGAGGGTCCTCAGATAATGAAACTTCTACCTTGACAACGGTGAAGAATACACGTTTCGCACCGTTTCACAGGAACCACGGGGTACCCAGCCCATCTTTCAAGTTAAAATCTTGGAAACACCCATCCGAGTGTTAGCTGATTCTGGAGCAACTGCCAATGTTTTAAGTTTCAAGGAACTTGATATCCTAAAACAGAAGCCGTAACTGTCAGCTACCCGCAGCCAACGTGTATCCATACATGACTGCCAAACCGCTAGATCTTTATGGAAAGTTCAAGGCTAAGATTACTAGCGAGTATGGTTTATCAGAGGAAACATTCTATGTTGCCAACAGTTCATCAAACTCTATACTCAGCTGGATGACATCACAGAAATTGAATCTTAGAAAGGTTATAAACACAGTTTATCAACTATCTCCTGCTCTACCTCCTAACGCTCCTGACTTCTTGGAAAACTATCCTGGCCTAACTCGTGGAATGGGTGAATACAAAGGGGAACTAGCTCAAATACATATAGATGAATCTGTCAAGCCATTGGCTCAACTGCATCGTCGCATCCCATTCCATGTTAGAAAGCAAGTGGAAGAGAAGCTTAAGCAACTAGAGGAAGATGACATCATTGAACGTGCCAAAGGTCCAGCCCCATGGGTATCACCAATCGTTGTAGTACCAAAGCCTAATAAACCAAATTAAGTAAGAATCTGCGTTGATATGCGTTCCCTAAACAAAGCCATTGTCAGGGAACGGCATATCATTCCCACTATTAACGATGTAGTGTCTGAAAGGAGAACCTACCACAAGACTGTTACGCGCTGGTAAAATGGGCCTGAAGATGACAGACATCATGTTCCATGCCAGACCTGCCAAGCTAACTATTTCTGATGCATGGACATTGATCCATTCAGAGGTTGCTGAAAG